GAGGAGGAGGGAGAGGCCAGGATGCTGCGCAAGCCGCCGCTTTGAACTATGGAAGGAGTTCTGTACAAGTGGACCAATTATATCACAGGTAGGGAGGGCATCTGGGCTCTGGGGCGGTGGGTCTCCCACACCCCTTCTTGGGAAGGCGGCAGACAGGCTGACACCCTCCACCCCAACCTCATCAGCACATAATGGAGACTCCAGGAAGGTTCTTTGGCCACGTGCTTCCTTGCCACCTCAGCTTACTGTGAGTCCAACCATTGGTTTTTTTAAAGGTCAGTATTGTCTACTTTGGCAGCAGCTTCCCGGGGTCTCAGATCTGTAATGTCGTCTATCGCCTCTTCTTAGTGGGAGGGGAGGGGATTGAACCTGGAACCTTGTGCATGGAAAAACAGATGCTCTGACACTGAGCCAGGCCTGTAGCCACAGTGGGGCCTCTTGGGGCCCGCCCCCCGACATACCACCAAGGCATACCACTTCCCATCCAGCCCAGCCCACTCCAACTTCCAATTTTTAATTTTATTTATCGTGCTCGTCCCTGGCAAGCCCTGGGCCACCCTCCAATTCCACGCCGCTCTTTCTCGCCAGCCACAGCTGCTCTCTCTCTTGTCACCGTGACTGAACCATGGCCCTGCCCCACTTCTTTTTGAGGTCTTTTGAACCGATGAGGCCTGATTGTTTTACAGAATCAAAATTATGCTTCAGTATGCTGGGAAATTCAGAGACAAGCGCTGCTTAAGCATACTACGGGATTTAGCAAATATGACCTAGTTCTGCCGATGCCTCAAAACCCTTAGCTCACATTCTCCATTCTCATTCTTCCACAGGTTCTGCAGATAGAAATAGCTAGGTTTTGTAGGGTGGAAAGCATTTCAGAGCCGCTCTGGCTGAGTCAGAGGTGCTCCGATATGTCTCATGGTTCTTAGTTTTAACACTGAACGTAGGCCTTGTGGGTGTTTTTGCAAAATAGGAAACTTTGTTTGGGATGAGTAATGTGAGGAGACGTCTCTGGTCTTCTGAGGGGGTCCTGTCTGCATCATCAGCCAAACTTAATTGACCTCAAGACTTGAGATTCTTAAGAAGCCTAAAGCAACAGACCTAAGCTATATCACTGAACAAGTAGATGGTGAATCTTTTTCCCTCAGATTTCCTCCCCCCAAAAAAAGAACTGTTTTGCTTTTAACACTGTGGGATTTGTTGCCTTGGATTAAGTTGTTTGCTATCTGCTCTTGAATCGCTACCACCATTTGATGTAGAGAATAGACAAAGAGACCTTTTCCCCCCCTCTCCCAAAATACTGGATCTTGATGGCATTCAATGAAGCTGATGGGCGGTAGGTTTAGGACAGACAAAAAGACATACTGCTTTGTGGGACAGAGATTAAACTGTGGAATTTGCTGCCAAAGGATGTAGTGATGGCCACAGGAATTAATAGCTTTAAAAGGGGATTAGATAGATTCATGAAGGATAAGTCTATCAATAGCTGCTAGCCATGGTGACTGAGGGAAACCTCCATGTTCAGAGGCACTAAGCCTCTGAATCCCAGAGCCAGGAGGTAACATCAGGAGGGTTTTGGTCTCTATACCCTGTTGTTGGTCCTCCAGAGGAATTGGTTGGCCACTGTGAGACAGGATGCTGACCTAGAGGAACTATTGGCCTGATCCAGCAGGGCTCTTCTTATGTTCTTATGATATAGATGGGATGACGTACTCTTTGACTGACTTTATATGTGTTTACCGTTGTGGGCCCTGGGAACAAACCAGTAGCTTTCTAATGCATTCATGTCAAAGCTAGTTACTTTTGATGAATTCACTGTTGATTTATAGGGATCCCTGTCCCAAATGCTCACAAGTTCTCTATGTAAAGAGCTGCTATTTACTAGTCTGTCTGCCTTTTGACCTAGTACTGTCTTGTTACCTTGGACATTTTCCACAACCTTGCTACCAATGACTGTGGCTGATCCTGCTATTACATATGTGCAAAGCATAAGGATTTGAGAGCTGAGGGGGGTGTCCCCCAATTTTTTCCCCTGAGGATTAAAAAATAATTCCCCCCATTTTCTGACGATTAAAATTAATTTAATTTAATGTGCTTAATTAGTTTAGTTTATAATTATTATACACCCTTAAAGAGATCAGTGTTTTCAAAGTTATAAAGTATAGCTTAATATCCAGGTATGCAGGTAATCCTGCCTAGGTTGACTGTGTGAGAGTTTCTGTCCAAGTAATACACTCTCTTGTGTTCACCACAAAATTTATTCTCTACCTTCAGCTTTTATTTTTACCTTACCTTTTAGATGGCAAACATTGATTCATGTTCTTATGGTAGTATACAGTGTAGTAGTTTACAACTCTTTCTTACATATTGAGTATACTTGCAGTTTTCTTACAGAAAATGAAGACATTTATACTTTTAAGTACCATAGATATGCGAGAAAGTACAATTTTGTATGTTAACTACGTTATAAATGATGTCTTTAATAAATTATATCTTTAGGTTTGGTAGGAAAGTAAATATAACTTATATTTCAAACTCCCCCCTAGCCCCATGTTTTCCCCTTGGTTTCAAAATTCTTGGAAAGCTCTAGCAAAGCATGCACTCTGAGTTTTTCCTTCTCCATAATTATGTTTTGTTTTGACTTTTTAAGGAAGTGCTCAGTTCCTGTTTCTAAAGGATATGCTTCAGATCTTAGAAGCTACTTCTTTTAAAGTTCTGCCCCTACAATAGAGATTCTATACTGTGAAACGTTTCTTTGTGGCTCTTGATCGAGGGAGACATCCTATTTGTACAGTTAAATTTGAGTCCAGTAGCACCTTAGAGAAGAAGAAGAGATTGGATTTATCCCCCGCCCTTCACTCGGAGTCTCAGAGCAACTTACAAACTCCTTTCCCTTCCCCTCACTACAACAGACACTCTGTGAGGTAGGTGGGGCTGCGAGAGCTCTGACAGAAACTGCTCTTTCAAGAACAGCTCTGACAGAACTATGGCTTGCCCAGGGTCATCCAGCAGCTGCAAGTGGAGGAGTGGGGAATCAAACCTGGTTTTCCCAGATTAGAGTCCACGCACTTAACCACTACACCAAACCATTACACCAAACTAGAGTTTCAGGGTATAAGCTTTTGAGAGTCAAAGCTCTCTTCGTCAGATACAAGTAGGAATGGAGCTCTGTGAATCATTCTGTTCTAGCTAGAAACTGTCCTATTTGTAATATATCCCAATTTGAAAGTGTAACTGGTGATGTTCAGGCGCAAGTGAGATGAACCTCGGTTTCTTGGGATCATACAAGGCTGTTATACTGATGCAGGGCTTGTTTTAGCATAGCTTTATGCACTTAAATAAAAACAAAATATTGGGAAACATTTATGAATGTGAGAAACAGGTTACCGCTGCTAAGGTGTGTGCATCCCAAATGGCAAATTGTGGGAGCCCTGTAGATGGTTTTTTCAGGTTGCCAGCAATGAATGTTAGGAAATATATTATAAAGAGGCAGAAGTCCTAAACTGAAAACGGCAGGTAGGTCCAAAATCCTGTTTATTGTTGGGGAATGAATGGACCTTTGCATCACTTTGTGGTTGTCAACATGTTATTCAGGAATACCTCTCATAGCATTTTATCAACAGCCTCCCAGATGTAAATTCTGGAGGCGTCCTGTGATTCTGCTGCAGTCAAACAACAGAGCCATGAGCCCATTTTGTCAGATGCATGAACTGTTATATTCAGTTGTCTGAGATATATATACACACACACACACTCACATACAAATCTACAAACAACAGAAGGACGAGGGGGAGTTATTGAGAAGAAAGCTAAGAATGTAGCCCAGTTTCCCATAACATATCTGTATTATATAACGTGCAGCGCAGGGGTGAAAACAAGATCCAGCCAAAACAGTAAGTGATGCGCTCAGAGTGGATGTGGACCACTCCCAACTGTTGATGAATTAGCTAAGGTAGGACGAATTTGGACGCTGTATGTAAACCTGTGAGGAACAATTCTTTTATGAAATGAGCAAACAATTCCTTGTTTTACAGTATCATAGAATGTATTTCACATGTATCTCACAAAAAAACTGCCTTATACAGGGGCAGGTCATTGGTCTAACAAGATCAACATCGTCTGCTCTGACTGGCAATGGCTCTCCTGGGTCTTAACTAGAGTTCTTTTAACTGGGATACCAGGGATTGAACCCAGGACTTCTGCATGCCAAGCAGTTGTTCTACCACTGAACTATGCCCCTGCCTCAGTCTCACATCAAGACAGTAGTATCTGGGCTGAGAGATCCACTTAACTTTAACAGTGTAACACCAGACCATTCTCTGGGAGTGAATAGAGACCTGAAATGCACTCTTGATTTTCCTTGCCATGTGGTATTTTTGCTGGTTTAGTAATATGCACCTAGTAGCGATTCTAGCTGCTCTTTAAAATGAATAAAACCCTTGAGCAGTAGCATATGGAAAGCTGTTTGGAGAGAGGAAGGATGCTAAGGGATTGAAGTCTTCATGCAGAACAAGGTTTGGATTCCATTTTTGGCTGCGGAATATGTGCGTGTGCTTTTGGTGACCCTTTTGAGAAACGTTTAACCTGCCCCTTGAATCTGCGGAATATGTGCGTTTTGAGAAACGTTTTGAGAAACGTTTAACCTGCCCCTTGAAAAGGCCATGTCTATTTTATCATTATGTGTATTATTCTGAAACTTGTCTTCTTTTTTTTAACCACCCACCCCCCCAGCTTTGTTTAAAATCTTATTTCTTTTGGAAATTTTCTTGGAATTTGGTAAGTTTGTAGAGTGTATAATTTTTGTCGCTGCTTCTCCGCAGACAGGCTGTTTGAGGTTAGATTTTGTGTAATCCGAGAGAGAGAAAGGTTGCCATTATTTGAGGGTGAGTTAGGGCCGTTAGATATGGTGGGGTGGCTGTGTCTGTTCGTGTCCTGGCCTTGCTCACATCTAAAGCACTGGCTGGCTGTGTGGTTTTTAAAGGAAATTGTGTATGGGGTTGAAGAGAGCTAAGCCTTCCCGTGCCTTATTCTCACCACAGTTTGTCATTGGAAGCACTTTTCTCCTCAGCCCAGTTTACCTAGTGTGGGAAC